CCGCAAGCAATGAGTTGCCTATTTGTTGTAAGCTGCAAAATTTATAAGACTTCCGCACCAAACAAAATAAACTTTAATTAAAAAAATAAAATAAAAAATTTACAAAAAAACGTAAACATAAAAAATAAAACAAGCATAACATAACAAGTGATATTACAAATAATGACAAAATTATGAGTATAATAAAAAAAGTGAAAACTTAATATTAGGTGTTTTTATCACAGTTGTAATTCGTGTGTCGAAATCGCCCTACTGAAGTGAGAGATAAGCGAAAGTCTAAGTAAACAAAAAGGTAATAAATTCAAACAGAAATTGCTCGCATTCTATGTGTTTGCTCTGACTCATACATCATTCCAAACACGTATCGTTGTTAACGAGCGCGCCGCGTACATACCTGTGAATGCAAATAGGCCAATGCTTTCAGGCATTGCTTGCACACTGTAGCGATTTGCTCTTCGTCCATGCGTGAATGTGTGACAATGTCGGTGAGCGCACCGCCCTCCAAATACTCCATGACGACCCAGAGCTCATCGTTTACTAAGAAACTTGAGTAGGTCTCCACAATGTTCGGGTGGTGATAGTCGCGCATAATGACCACTTCGTTAAAAAGCAGTTCACGTCGTTGTTGTTTGCGCAGATCCATTTTTTTAACAGCCACTTGACGGCCTGTTTGAATTAAAACAGTATTTTTATAATTTGTATTTCTGCGTAAATAAAATAATATTTTGGTTGTGAGAACTTGATAATAACCCACCTGTTGATTTGTCAGTAGCTATGCACACTGTGCCTGTAGAGCCTTCACCTATTTTCATGAAGTTGTCGAGGTTTTCACGAGGATCACCAGCCGAAACAACCATTTGCAAAGCGGCACGGAACTAGAAGACATATTATATTACTGTTATGTTTCAAGTTGTTTTCTTTCTTTGCAATTACCTGTTCATGTGTCAGCCTCTGTTCCTGTTTAGGGGGCGGCGCAACGCCTAGGCCACTGGCCCCGCCTACTGCACTACCCACGCCGCTCGCACCACCACTTGAACTAGATGCGCGCGACGCTGACTTTGCATGCAAGTGCGGATGTGTATGGTGTGGATTTTGATTTTGGTCTCCACCGGCTCCTAAATGTTTCGCGGCATGATGTGCTGATTGTATGGCGCCAGGTTGATATGGCGCAAAGCCACTGCCACCATTGTTGTTGTTATGTGGATGTGTGTGCGCCGATGAGGCATGCGAGTGCGTCGAACGTGTCCCGCTAGCTACTGAACCTACTGGAGAAGTCTGTTGTGGCTGTCCACCTCCCGCAAGATGGTGAGGAGGTGGCGCGGTGCGGTAATGTAAAGCAGTAATCGCTGTCGGGTTGCCGAGCGATGATTGAGGCTGTGTAGAATGTTGTTGTTGTTGACTCGCTATAAAATCGGTGCGTACTGCAAGTGGTCCATGACCGCCCCCATTCTGTGCATTATGTTGCGAGTACATACCATAGCCCGCCGTTCCAGCTGTTGATACATTTGTCGCAGGACCATTGATTGGGGGTTTGTAGCCACCGTAACCGATTGTTTGGCCTGGCACGGGCGTGGGCACTGTAGTTGATGCACTTTCTTCAGGCACTGCCGGCGGAACATTGGCGTTGCCACGCAAATCCCGTCGTACACGGGGCGGGCTGGAGCTGCGCAAAGAATTAGAGCGGGCTACATGTGACGTTTTCGGTAGCACAATACCACCTGTGTTGTGGCTAATGCCACCTGTTGCCGAACCTGCAGCATTTGCCGCATTATTATGCTCGGAGAAGTAGTGCGCATGCGCGGTTTGGTTATTTCCTAACGCTCCACTAGCATTCGGTGCAATGCTGCTATTCAATGAGGTCGTATCCGCTTTGTTGTTATTGTGATGCGGTCGCACAATTGTCTTAAGATCAAGAATTTCCGTCGGTGTTATTTCGGAGGGATCCACTAAAGGTAGTGGCCTATTTGTTGACTTTAGTATTTGATTGTTGCCAACAATGGAAGCCCATTGTAACGGTAAACCAACATAACGTCCCTCACGTTTGTCAAATCCCGTATGCACGCGATGTTCAAAATTGCTTGGCATAGAAATCAGTGGTTTCTTCTTCTTCTTTGAGAACATTTTGTCGCAATATGTGTATTTGCGCTGTATTAACTGCCACTATGTGCTACAATAAAAGGTGAAAATTCGTGAAATTCCTAACGAACGATGTGAATTTCCCGTCGCAGTTTGTTGACTTTAATATTTACCTCCGCCCAATGTGCACACAGCCCGCTTATAACTAAAAAAGCAGTTATTCTCTTTGTTGTTGCTCAGCTAAGCTCCACACCCGTTGTAACTGGCCGTTGGTGCTTGGCTTCCTCCCTTCGAAATATTTTATGGCTTACGTTTACTTTCATACATAAAATTTTGCAGTTTTTTCAACACTTTGCACTTGCACGTTATATTTAGCACGAAATAAATTCATTTCTTAACACGAATAAACATAACTTGTATTTAAATAATATTAATTACAATGAAAAAATTTAAATAAATCAAAAGGAATGTCTAAGCGCACTAATTTAATTTTGCATTTTCTCTTTACTGTGGCATTTGTGTGCTCATTCATGTTCTCTCCGTTGCATTTTCGCTGTCAATATGGCGTCTAGCAGTGTTGGAAAGTGACTGCAGCAGAGGAACAAATATATTTCAATGAAAAAGTTATTTCAATTAAAATTAAAACATTTTTCAAATAAATTTTGAAATTACCAAACTGCAAAATCTTTACAATTAACACAAATAATGTACTCACATATAAGCACTAATTAATTTATCATTTGTCAGTGAAAAAAATTACGCCGCGTTCTTTGAAATTCAACGGCGCCATTTCTGAAAATATCAACGCTACACAACACAGCTGCTTGTCAACGTCGGCGGTGTTTCTGTCATTTGTACTTTAATTTTCACTGATATCATTTTATTAACTTGGTGTTTTTGGTTGCTGTAATTTAAATTAAAAAAAAAAATTAATAAACATTAAAAAAATGTCGAATAATTCGAATCTATCTGTGGCTGTGGTCTGTTCCTCAAACATGAATCGTTCAATGGAGGCGCATCATTTCCTAGCGAAGAAGGGCTTCAACGTGCGTTCCTTTGGCACTGGTGAACGCGTAAAACTCCCAGGCACAGCTATTGATAAACCAAATGTATACGAATTTGGCACACCTTACGACACAATCTATCAGGATCTGCTTACAAAAGATAAACAATAGTGAGTGTGAACGAAAGCAAGAAATTTAATTACATACACGCATTGCATATAGTATATAAGCTGATATTTTTGGTCACAACTTATCTAATTTTTTGGTACTTTTATTATAGCTACACACAAAACGGGTTACTTCATATGCTTGACCGTAATCGAAGAATTAAAAAGTGTCCAGAACGCTTTCAGGAATGCAAAGAACAATTCGATATTATTGTGACCGTGGAAGAGCGTGTCTACGACCAGGTGTTGGAACACATGGAGTCTTGTGATCCCATAGACAATCGACCTGTACACGTATTCAATGTGGATATTGAGGACAATCATGAAGAGGCTTTAATGGGCGCCTTTCTTATCACGGACATGATAAATATGGTAATAATGAAGACCAACAACAAACGTCTACCCGTTTTAATATTGAATATAAAATTGCCTGTGGAGGTGATTGAAGCGCATGAGTTGCGGGGAGTGATTTCAAAGCTTTTGGTGTACGTTGTTCACACAAATAACAAAATATCAAAGTTAATATTTTCCTTGCATAAATATACGGTACACTCAATGAAAATGAACGCTTTATATTATTTTGTAATTCTGTTTTATAGCTGGGCTATCTGAGATTTCTGTAAGTAACAATATAATGTTTATAGCTTTAGAAGCCGGTAAAATCGAAACATAATCACATGAATAAGCATATGAGCATGCAACAGATTTACACTAATGATCTAGTGATTACGAAAGAGAAGAAGGTTGGACCAGTTTTCTTAGATTAAAGCCAATATTTTATACATCTATACGAAATGTATTATCCAAAATTTATTAATTTCATCGCTTAATGATTTTAAATCAAATGATAAAGCGTTATTTATCTTTAAAATGAGAGTTTCTGTGAGATCATATGCAACTAAAAATTGAAAAATGTTATTTGCAAATATTTTTCATCTTAAAGGCATCTTTTTAATATTTTCTGATTTTTAGTATGACAAAATGTGCATAAATCCCCGACCTCATAAACGATATCTCTCCTCTATTACCCACCCACATACAATAATTTAAATTTGATCTATTATCTAAACTTTAGATGGCGAAATCAACCGACCTGGATAACGATATTGACGAATTGCTGCAAGAATTCGAGTCTCGGCGCAATAAAACTGTTCTGCATTCGGTACTTTTCTACTGACAATTGTTTAAGCTGTAGATGGAAATCAAAATAACGAAATGGAAATCATTAAATGTATTGTTGGCAAAATTCGGTTTGTTAATGCAAGTGCACCAAACGGTAAAAAACTATCCTATAATGCATGTAATATTATTAAACAAATATGAAAAAAAAAATTTTTTTAACGGAAACCAATGCAGGAGGTTGTGGCATAATTTTTGTGGATCTAGCAGAAAAAAAAACATATGAAATGAAACAAAGGATGGCGAAACTAATACTGTAGTTATTGAAAAATAAATGTACGCAAGTAATCAAAATCCAAGCAAAGTTGAGGTAACCCAACTCATTTGGTGAAGAACAAATGCTTATAAAAACTCATTCATGCCATGCTGGTATGTATGCACTTGTAAGCGCGTCTAAAAATGCAAAAATATAATTATCTTGCAGAATATATGAAATAAAATATAAACAGATATTTTACAAATTTGTATTTAAGTATAGTCATTTTTTTTTCATTTTCTCCAATCAAGCTCTTCTTTGCCAAAGAAAATAAAACAAATAACGAATGTATAAAGATACATATACATACAGACATACTCGTATGTATGTTCCATATTTTCATTTAATTTAAGCAGTCTTCATATTATTTAAACTTTCACCATTTTAATTTAATTTTAAGTATTAAGGATTTATGCCCGAAGTTTATTTTAAATCAAACTTTGCCATAACCTAAAAATTCAAAAAGAAATCACAAAAATGCAACGCAGGTGAATTCCAAGAGAACTGATATTATTTGGCAAGAACAACAACAAATGTGTATAAGATAAAAAATGTTAGAGATGTATGCTTAAATTTATGTAGTCGTTCGATTGGTGATTGAGAAAAAATAAAAAAAAATATTTAAAATATTAAAAAAAAACTAAATACATTGAGTTTTCAAATTTATATTAATAAAAAATGAATTAATGAGATTTATATGAAAATAGTAGATATACAAAGGAAAAATAAATAGAAAGTGAAAGGTATGGATTAGCTGAATTTTGAACGTAACCTCAAAACCGTAAATTAATTCTATATTTGAGTGAAAAGGAAAACGGCAAATAATATTTTATATCCACTTTTTTAATAAAATTTAAATTATTTCATTATCCTTTTTTAATTTTGGCTGTTTTTGGATCTTAAGTGAAAAATTAATTATAGATCAGAAAATAAAAAACTAAAAAAAAACATTAACATCGATTGCACTGAAGCTATAATATATTTCACAATCGTTCCGATCATTTAGTTTGTATGACAGCTATATGTATAGTGGTCCGATATCATCCGCTCCGCCAAATGAGCAGCTTCTAGTAAGAAAAGGATAGCTGCAAAACTTCAGACCGATCTCTTATAAGTTGATGGACTGGATCGTATATATACAGACAGACAGGCAGGCAAACATGCCTAAATCGACTCAGCTCATAATGATCATCATTTATATATATATTTTTTTTATAGGGTCTCTGACGTTTTTTACAAACTTCGTGGTGTCAAACTTATATACCCTGTTCAGATTATAATTAGCCTAAAGCTGCTGAAAATTTATTTAAAGTTGCTTAATCACAATTTCAATAATTTTATTTAAACTAAAAGTAAATTAAGTAGAGTATTTCAGTAATTTGATTATTAAAATTATATTAATTATTTGCGATAATTAACTACTTTTAAATTAAAGTTTTATTTCTTATTATTTTCTTCAGAAATTGAATTTTTTATCTTTTTTAGTATTTTTTTTTAATATTATTTTATATATATTTTATTTTAATAGATGTGTATAAGAGACAGAGTTTGCAACACTCTTGATATTTTTAAAAATATGC